GCACTCCAGAGACCTCTAGTGTTAATAGGCTTCTGTGGTTCATTGTGGGCCTCACCTTGAGTAAATCTGGGGCCATTTCACTATGTAGGACACTTGCATGTTTGTCATAATTGCGCGTTTTCTTTGTGCACATTTTTTTTTTTTTGGCGCCGACAGAGAAGAAAGAATATGCAGAGACCGTACAGTATATATTTTATAAGCATACTTTTCCTTGAATCACATGGCAGGAAGAGACTTCAGAGCGACTAAAATAGGATAAAGCACCTTGGTAAAAATCCTCTCCCACCTTGCTGCAATGAAAAACTGCATTCCTGATAAGAAGATATGAGTTCTCCATAGTCCAACACTGTGTTTGCTGACTTATTGAATGAACTTGAAATCTGTGCTTTAGACTATCCTCTCCCCGTTAAGAGAAATGCATTGTGCCCATATATTAGGATTCATATTTGTATATCTATATAGAGTTACAGACAGACAGAGGCTTTTTTATTCTGTGGTTTTTGAGTCTCTTGTGGCTATCCCTCTTTCTCCCTTCCCCCTCTCTGTTTTTCTCTCCTCTCTGTCTTTCTCTTTCGTCCTCTGTCTCTGTTTCTCTCACTCGCTACCCCTCCCTCTTTCTCTTGATCTCTCTCTCCTCCTCTCTCTCTTGCTCTCCCATGCCCCCCTCTTTCTCTCGTCTCTCTTATGCTCTCTCTCTCTTTCTCTCTTTCGTTCCATAGCTCTCTCTGTCTCACTCCCTCGCCCCCCTCTCTGTTCCTTTTATATCCTCCTTGCTGAATGCTCTTCTCCTCTCCTCCCTCAACTCTGTCTTTTCTCCTTTATATTCAGTCTCTTTTTTTTCAAGCTCTCCCCACACTCCTTTCTCCAGTGTTGTCTCCAAGCAGAGCTATTTCATTGCTAATATTCTGACTTTCCATTTAGTACCCCCACTACAAAATCAAGGAGAGTAATCTTTTATTTGGGGTATTTTTGCTCTGGCCATTTCTTCATCCTGTTTGTGTGAGAATCATTTTGAAGTAAATTTAAGGTTTTATTTTTTTTTTTTATGTGGAGTAAAAAGGAAGATTAAAACTGCAGTCATGTGAGGCATTAACATTCAAAAAGAAATGCAGAAAAATTGAAAATATTTTGTGTGTGCTAAAAGTTTAAGGGATTCATTTAGATTTCGCTGATCATATCAAGTCTCAGATTTGAAGTTGCAGCAGCGAGTGAGACAATACTAATCAAAACTGAGGCTTTGTATTTTTTCAGTTCGGGTTTTCTTGTCAGATATGTCCGATCTGTTCCCACTGACCTTAAAGGAAGAAGATGGAGGCATGCAACAAGGGTGTGGCTGCTGCTTTTATACACTTTTGTGATACTCCATCTGCATTGCTTTGATTAAAGCTGTTTGATTGCCTGCTCTGTGCTTGTAAAAGAAAAAAAAAACAAAGGTAGTGAAAGCTTAATTACAGCAGCTAATCATGTTTTAGACTATTATATCAGCATGCCGTGCAAAGGTGAGGCTGAACTTGCACTGGAAATAACAGAAGGTGTGTGGGTTTGCCGCCTTATACACAGGTCTTAGAGGAATCGACATCAGTCTAATAACTCAAAGTTCAGAAACCAGAGCAGTGCGAATCTTCTCCTCTCTTTCTGATCACTAGAAGGAAAAAAAACATCACCTGAACACTGTCGCTGTAACGACCCTATACACAAACCTACACAGCTCCCAGTTTGCCTGACAGTAAAAGGATGTTGAATTGTAGCCATCACCTAGCACAGTGTCTCACACACACACAGTCTGAATGCAGCCTGTGCCTGATGTGGACTTGATGAAGGAACAACACTAAGGAGTGGGCTCTGGACGTATATATATATATAGACAAACTAAACTATATGTCTAATGGTGTTCCTCCAGTTTACTGTCATTTGCATTTCTCAGGATGTGCACTTTGGTTTTAACCTAAAAAGAGAAAGACAGAGAAGAGAAAAAGGAGTTGTCATCAATGAGACCTCTGCAGTTTTATGATTCATTGAGCTTTTCTCTGGGGTAAAACAGACAGCTGATATCTGAATCTGCCCCCCTCTCCCTCTCTTCCTTACTCTCTATCTCTGTGACTTGTTCTCTTCCTCTTATGGAAAAAGAAGTTATAACTTTGACCTATATCACAGAAAGGATGTGACACCACGCTGCATAGTATGTCCTCTCACCAGAAAAAGCAGGCCGGGGGGGTAGTGGTGGTGGAGGGAGGGGTGTTGGAAAATAGACAAGAAGAAGAAGTAGAAGTAGAGGAAGAAGAAGAAGAAGAAGAAGAAGTCAGTGGTAGAAACACAGCAAGTAAGTCGTTCGGACACCAGTGTCAGAAGTGTGCTGTTCCAGGGCTGTAGGGAACTGAAAGCGTGCTGGTGTCAAATACGTGTGTGTGTGTGTGTGTGTGTGTGTGTGTGTGTGTGTGCTCGTTGCTGATCTTAGACATCAGACAAATGTGCACACACACACAAAAAAAAAGGAAAAAAAAACATTGAATCCCAGTTGAGGGTTAGTACTCTTGAGAGCAGGGCAACGGCTTACTTCCCTTTTTTTCCCCCCTCATCTTCACATAGAAACCTGTATAATCTAGGAAGTGAATAAAATTTTACGCTTATAATCCACCGTAGCTTTTTTTTTTTCCACTATTAGTTTTCCATCGCCCTACACGCACAAATGTACCTTAAGTAAATGGACAAGTGAGCAGGTTTTGCTGTTATGAAGATTCAGGCCCTGGAAAAGAGCCAGTGTATTTCTTCCCCAAACTTTTGTTGTCTGTGTCTTTTTCATTTTCCCCATAGGCTAGTTCTGTGTTGTTTTATGTACGTGTCCCTTGTTGTTTCTTCCATGTGGTTTCTTTGTCTTTCAGCCTCTTATCTCTTTGTTTCTTCCCTTGCTCTCCTTCTATTTTCTCTCCCATTCTCTCCCTCGACTTCCTGCTATCTCTCCCCCTCACTCACACCCTCACTCAATCTCTTTCTCTTTCTCTATCCCCCCCTCACCTCCCTCCCTCCCTCCCTCCCTCGCGCTCACTCTCATTCCCTATCTCTCCCTCCTCCCCCCCATCCCTCCGCTCCCCTTTCTCTGTATCTTTCTCATTCTCGCAGCACTCCCAGCCGCTGATGATTGATCAAGGTTTTCAAGGTTTGCCCTTTCCTGTTATTTAGTAGGAAATGTTTATGCACAGTCCTCAGCCCCACAGTCACAACTGGCATGTGTCCACACACACACAGTGCCTGTCGCTCTTGCCTGCACCTTCACATATATATGTCTCAAACACACTTTTTTTTTTCAAACTCCTTTAAAGGTAAGGAAGTCTCTGGCATATCAGAATACCTGTCTAATTATCAGGATCATCCTCAACGCCGACTACTTAAGCACACAACCTGTACTTAGCCCGCAGGTACTCTGCCGCACTGTTTCTCAACACAGCCTGAAAGAAATCTGGAAGTTCAATAGTTAATGTCTTCCCTTGCTGTTTTTCCTTTTCTTCACTCTCTCCGTCTCTCTATCTCCTTTCCTCTCTCCATTCCCTTTGCTCTCACCCCCCCACACACACACATCCCCCTCCACCTCCTCCTCCTCCTCCTCTCCTTCATTCTACGCCCCCCCTTTCCTTTTCTCTTTTCTCTTGCTGATGGACTCTTCTTTTTTATTTTCACACTCCACCATCCCCCTTTTTTTCTTCTCTCTTTTTCTCTCTCCTTCTTTCCTCCAGCAACCCCCCCCTCCCCTCCCTCCACCACCCCCCCATGCTCTTCTCTTTCACTGCGTTTTCTTTCAAACCTCCTTCTATCTCTCTTCCCATCCCCTACCCCACCACCACCACTCCCCCCTCTTTCTTTTCTCTCTCTTTTATTCTTTCTTTCTCTTTCTTTTGCCATATCCTTTCTTATGCCTCAGACCTCCCTCCCCTCCCACCCCCCCTCCATCCACCTCCCTCCCGTCTCTCCTTTCCCTTCTTCCTCCTTCTTTTTGCTGCATTCTCTTTTTCCCTCCCCCACCCCCGCTTTCTTTCCTCTTTCCCTTTTTCTTTCTGTCTCTCTCCCCCCCTTCACCGCACACCCCCCTCTATCCTCCTCCTCTTCCTCCACTCAGCTTCACTCCCCCTCCCTATGCTTCTTTCTTCCTTATTCTTTCTCCCCCACGTCTGTCTTCCTCCCTCCCTCCCTCTCTCTCTTAACTGCTTTTCTCTCCTTTCTTTCTCCTTCTCTTTCCTTTTGTCACTCTCTTTTCTTTTCTTGTGAATTTCTCAGACAGTATACTTCAGGCTGTCTCAATAGTTAATTAGTTTGAATCAAGAAATAATAGCAGCAAACTACACGGTCTCCAGAAAGTTAAATTTTTGTATTTCTCAGACATTATCTGTCTGATGTTTCGCTGCTGACAGACGCACCTCCACCCTTACTCTCTCTGAGTGTTTGTGCACGTTGTGGAAGTGTGTACGTGCATCTATGTGCGCATGCATATATCTAAGCATGTTTGTTTGTTTTCATAAACTCATGTATATATCTACCTGCACTGTCGGAGAAAAACAACAGGAACTAGATATTTATAACAGCTCTTGCATTTGTGCATGGGCTCATAAAAAGGGAAATGCAAAGTATAAAGTGTGATCAAGAAAAGATAGAGCTTGTGTTTCTGTGCGTCTTAAAGAGAAATGTGTGTTGAAGGGTCATGCTGAATTGTATGTAGTGAGAAAGGGAGATAAGATGTGTGAGTGTGTGTGTGTGTTTGTAAGAGAAAAGAGGAGAGAAAGAGAAGTGAGATGGGAAGGAGGAGAGGGTGGGAGGAAGAGAAAGAAATGGGGTGATGCTGTGTGTGTGTCTGTGTGTGTGTGTAAGAGTGTGTGTGGTGGGGTGGAGGGCTGGTGGAGAGGGAGGGGGGCAGGCACAGTCAGTTCTGATAACAGCAACAGTAGGAGGAGGATGAGCTGTGGGACCGCCCCACTCTCCCACAGATATAAATAGGAGGTGGATTTTTTTACTTCACTCATTTCTCCTGAAGGATGAGATCCCTGAAACACCTCAAACATCACTCCAGGAACAATGTGGTGAGTTTGTAACCTAAAGATAAAGAAAGATGTGTCGCTGCTAGAGACTAGTGGGTGTTGGAGCTACTTGTTTGCAGTTTGTTAGTGAGGTGTTTACACTCTTGTTTGCCTGTGAGTGTGAGGGGAAGCGCGATTACTTTTCACATTCATATGAGTACCGCAGTGGGAACATCTTTTCAAAAAGATAGGAGTTGTGCTTCTATCTCTGCTGCACGTTTTCTCTTCCTGCTCTTGCTCTAATTGTTTGTCCTTAGGTGTCTTTCAGATGCAACTTTTAATGTGAAAGTACGGACTCTTGCAATTACTACCCTACCTTTCTCTGTCTCCTTGTCATTTGTCTTTTTTCTCTTTCATTTTGTCAGCCTTTCATTTTGCTGTGCTTTTTCTTCTCTCTCCTGCTCCCCCCTCCCTCCTTCCCCTCTTTCACTCACTCACTCTGTCTTTCTGTCTCTCTTCAGCCTCCCCCCGCACACCCCTCCCTCTCCTTTTCCTTTCTCTCTTCCCTCCTCTCACATGCTCACTCAATCTCTCCTTCCCCTTCCCTCCCCTCCTTCTCCTCCCCTCTTTCTTTATCTTTCAGCCCCTCCATCTCATTTCTGTCTCCGTCTCCCTCCCTCCACTCCTCCCCCGCCCACAGCTCTTTCTCCTTCCCTCCATACCTCCCTCCCTCTCTTTTCTCTCACTTGCACACACACACTCACACACACACACTGTCATGCTTTCAAATACACACCCAGTCTCTTTCCTTTCTTTCTCACAAACACACAGTCTGTCTCTGTCTGACTACTTTAAAAGCAGTAATTATAAATGACGTGGTTATCAGGGCATCCAGGTCTACTCCCCTCTCCAAACACACATACACATGCACGCAAAAGCACACACAGATACACACACCTTTATTCCTATCTCCTCTTCCTTTTCTGCCCTTTTTCTCAAACCACTCTTTTCTTGTCCCCTAGTATTGTGTCAGGAGAGGAAGCAGCTCTTGCTCTTATGAATGGCACAGAGTGAGGACTAGTGTGTGACAGGAAAGTAGGGTCAGAGCTCCTCTCTATACATGCTGAGAAATAACCTCAAACCACTGACCTGCAATGTCAGCTGCCCCTCTGCCATAGGACCAGTTTGGTCATACAGCAGTTTCTTCCTCATAGTTTTAATGTTCCACTTTTACAAGCGGCAAGGTAAACATGTGCATGATAGTTGGAAACACTTCCGTAGCGTGCAATCATGTTTGTGGGTCTTATGCATCAGGCTGGAATACAGAATAAGCCTGAAGCTCAATTGTATGTCTGTTATGGATATGAGTCTGCCTGGCGGCATATATCATCTTGTTAAAGGCGCCCGGTGTGGCAGGCATTATGAAGTCAGCTATGGCAAGTGTGGAGCTCAGACCTTATGCTCCTCATGAATGGGACAGACAGAACCAGTGATGAGCTGACTTTGGTCAGTGTGGCTGCCCCGGGACCCCACAGGAAGTGCTGAGGACAGTCCACGGAAGTCAACTTCCTGGCTGGACCTGCATCCCTTGTTGTGTTCTTTATTATTCTAAAGCCTGTGAAGGAAGGAAGCCGAGTGCTAACACAGATCTGCCTTATCTTCTCAATCGACGGTTTTGTGGATTCAGAGAAAAAAGAAACAAGGCGTAGTCCGAGTGTGACTTTAACAGAGTAACTCTCAAAAACAAGATCTTAATTCTCTCCTTGAAAATAGGGAATAGAAGGCTATATTGATTTTGATGTGATGCTGAACACTAAATTTAAGCCACCTTCTTTCGATAAGAGGGCAATAAAAATACCTCGTTTGTATTAATAGCACGGTTGCCAATATGAGGAGGTGAGGTTGGGGAAATAAGGTTATATGAGGAATCATTCTGTAGGGAAGAGATTTGTAAATAAAGAACAATAATCTAAAATACACACACCGATCTATTTTTAAAACAAGCATTGTATGTTTTGTGTGTTTTCTTCCAGGAGGAGCAAAGTAGCCGTTTGGTGCGGACATACCCCAAGATGACTGAGGGCCAAATGGATGTGGGCACGCAGACAGAGCCTGTGGTGGTGCTATCGCTGGCTCAGGCTGCCGTTCTTGGACTCATCTCCCAGAATGAAATCTTTGGGGCTACCATAGCTCCTAATGGCTTTTACACAGGGGAGCCCAGAGAGTGCCCCCCTCCTCCGCCAGAGGCAATTGAGTACGAGTATGCTGACCAGCTAATAGGGGCAAATGGAGACTACCTTGCAGAGCCGGCTGGGAGGCCAGAGCCACAGCCCCACTGCAGTGAGAGAAGGCGACCTGGACCCCGCGGAAGAACCAAAAGGCCAAGGACTGATGAAGAATCTGAGATTCCCCACAAAGTACCAAGTCCACAGACTCAGGTCAAAGGTGAGCGTCTTGAGTCTGAAACCCCTCCGTCATGTGTTCACATGAACAGCAGTCAAACTCCAGGCAAGTCAGAGGATCCAGTTTCTCATCAAGTTTGTCTGAAAGAGGAGCAGGCCTGTGGAAACTGTCCTTCATGTGTGCGGGGCACAACAAGGCCACAAACAGATGGACAGCCAGAGCAGGAACAGGATGCTAATACTGGCAGAGAAAGAGAGGGGAAGGAAGAAGAGCTGGTGGTAGAGGAAGAGGAGGAGGAGGAGGCACTTAACCTCAAGACCAGTGGTGAGAATGGCAGTCCCCTAGAGAATCGCTATTATGAGTCCAATGAGGCGGCCTACGAGTCTTCTGACATGGCCATGCCAGGAGAGTACGAGGATAATAGCCAGGCTATGCTATGGTCTGACCCAGAGGGCCTCGCCAGGCGAATGCAAATCGACCGGCTGGACATTAATGTACAGATCGACGAGTCTTACTGCGTAGATGTGGGAGAGGGTCTAAAACGCTGGAAGTGCCGCATGTGTGAGAAGTCATATACATCCAAGTATAACCTTGTGACTCATATACTTGGCCATAATGGAATTAAGCCTCATGAATGTTTACACTGTGGAAAGCTTTTCAAGCAGCCGAGCCATCTCCAGACTCACCTGCTCACCCACCAGGGAACTCGACCTCACAAATGCACTGTTTGTGAGAAGGCCTTCACGCAGACCAGCCATCTGAAGAGGCACATGCTACAGCATTCAGACGTCAAACCCTACAGCTGTCGCTTCTGTGGCCGAGGTTTTGCCTACCCGAGTGAGCTAAGGACCCATGAGAACAAACATGAGAATGGTCAGTGCCATGTCTGCACCCAATGCGGTCTTGAGTTCCCAACATATGCACACCTGAAGCGCCACCTGACTAGTCATCAAGGCCCTACAACCTACCAGTGCACCGAGTGCCACAAGTCTTTTGCATACCGCAGCCAGCTACAGAACCACTTGATGAAGCACCAGAATGTGCGACCCTATGTATGCCCTGAGTGTGGCATGGAGTTTGTGCAGATCCACCACCTTCGGCAACACGCTCTCACTCACAAGGTACTGGCAGCGCACACCCTTCCACTGAAGGTACTGAAACCAAAAGATGTGCCTTTGTCTTCCAGTTTGTGTTCAAAAAGCTTGTCTTACGCAACCGCACATCGCTTAACCTTGACTTAAAATAGAAAAATGTCTCTATCCTGATATAAAAATAAGGGATTTTGGGATTTAAAGAGAGGTATTTTGACATCATTCACTCATACTCCTCTGTATGAATCCTTATATCACATGAGGGTATACTGCACACTTGCATCACAGCCTTTCTGCAAAACCAGTTGCTTTGTAAACACAGCCTTCAAAGGCCTTGAGTTTTTGTGTGGCTCAACCCCCTCCTGCATGTGTTTTGTGTTGTGTGTCATTTGCAGAGCTACTTCCTTTGTGTCTGATGAATCACTCGTCTGTCTCTCCATCGCATTATGTGGTCTGTTTTCCTCTACAGAGGGGGCATACTATCCACTGGATATACTTTTGTTAATCAGTTAAATTAAAGTTGTGAGTCCTTGTTAAAACTTCTTTCGACTGTTCCACTCAGTTGTGCTCTGAACACTTAGGGTTGAAGTGTGAGGATTATAGATGGGAAGGGATAGACAGTAGATGAGCTGGATCTTAGGCTATAGGGCAAATGTGCTTATGCAAGCACCTTGTCAATTGTCCCCCCTTGACTCATTATTTATTTTCCTTTCAACTACTTGTACATGGTTGGCCAAATTAATTGAACAGCCCAAACCCTTTTTGTTCCTACAGGGTATGAAAGAATTCAAGTGTGACGTCTGTGCCAGAGAGTTCACCTTGTCTGCCAACCTAAAGAGACACATGTTGATCCATGCCAGTGTGAGGCCCTTCCAGTGCCATGTCTGCTTCAAAACCTTTGTCCAGAAGCAGACCCTTAAAACCCACATGATTGTACACCTGCCGGTCAAGCCTTTCAAATGCAAGGTGAGTCTTTCTTTTAAGAGCAAACCCATCGTGATGGCGCAGGGTGGGTTACTGACTTTTGTGCTCCCGTGTCTCAGGTCTGTGGAAAGTCGTTCAACAGAATGTACAACCTCCTCGGTCACATGCATCTCCATGCTGGCAGCAAGCCCTTCAAGTGCCCTTACTGCACCAGCAAGTTCAACCTGAAGGGCAACCTCAGCAGACACATGAAGGTCAAACATGGCATCATGGACACCTCAATAGATGGACAAGGTGAACAGCCCCATCAGATCTCCCTAATTACTCTTTCTGCTATGCAAAAGACGCAGACACTTCAGAATATCTGAATTCATTGACTGGTTATTACAATTCACACCAGTTTTAAGCAACTATGTCCCCATTGGGTCTACTTGGAGGGCCTCATGTAGCATTATTGTCACTCAGTCTGTTTCTAATGAACTTTGACTCGGCATGTACTGTAATCCACTGGCCAAGTGTTTTGATGTTACTCTGTCACTCCCTCCCTCTGAGTTTAGTATTTATAACAGTGCCTGGATTAGCCATGCTTGTCTCTATCAGTAGAGACTGATACTGAGTCGGGGAGGAGGAGCGATCAAGAGCTGTCCTCAACGAGGCCAATGGTCTCTAGGAGGGGGCCACAATTATCAGAGTTATTGAGGACACCGTGCCAACAAATAGTGTTTTTGCTTCCTCCTTCAGAACCACCACAAGACCCAGAAGGGCAGGAGGACTTTGAAGAGGAGAGCTTTGAATTCAGCGAGCGAGAAAACCGGGCTAACAACAACAACACTCCAGACATGGCGAAACTCTCTCAAATGGAGTATTACAACACCTATGGGAAAGGCGCGGGGCGCTTCAGCACAGCATGAGCTATCAAACTCACCTCAAAGTCAATTTAAGTGTTAAATAATGAAAAAAAGCATTTTGCCTTTTTTTGGTTTTGTTTTGTTTTTTGTGATCAGACATTGCGCTGGGGTTATTCCTCAAGGCTTTGGAGAAGACTGCACATTCATATGCACTGAACTTACAGATAAAACACAAATTTTGAAAATGTTTACTTTTACATGACCATTATTTTTCATCTCTAAAAAACAGCAAATCTACTGACATAGTATATTATAATTAAAAGGGTTAACTGTCTTTGACAGGAGCATTGAGGTTAAAAAAAAAAAACTATAAATAAAGGTTTTTACTGTCAGTTTCTTGACCACAGGAACATCATCTGAGCCTAATTTTAAAGCACATTTTTTTGCCTCAAATCTAAAGGCATATGGTAATGTTATACTGCACTTACTTGTTCAGACAATCCCGGTCTCTTTCAACTGTTGGGATAAATTAATGTGAAGGTTTAAAAAAGGGAACAAGTGTAACTGCTCATCTCACTTGCCAAAGCTTTGATTTATACTGTGATAAATCACATTTGAGGTCTGCTAAATGAGTTCTGCGATCTGTGTTGTATTGTATATTATTGTACAGAATGTATCAGTCTGCTTGTATGTTGGCTGGTATTATAATCAGTGCATTTCACTGAGGGTCACTGTGTCTACTTTTAAGGTTCCTGCATTAACAAGCATCACCCTGTATTGATCTCTAGTCTATGAATGTAATTGTTTCTGTGGAATGTTTTTAAAACGCTAATGAAAACAAAATCAAAACACCCATTTCAATGGTAGGACCCCTTTACCAAAGAATTGGATCAAATCTTGCAGCTATGGATGCTGTAAGTCTCTTTTCACTTGCTGTTGTGTTAAGCTGGGACATTGGATTTCATGGGGTCCATTCACAAACCTCATGAAATTACATTCAGGTTTCTCTCCCACCCATCTGTAGATCTCTTCAAAAGATTACCGCAGAGACCAGACTATGGTACAGCTTCTCTTTCAGCAAATCTCACAATTTTCATCCCATCCAGGGATTCACAAGACAAGACTGCGGCATTTTTTTTCCTAAAGCAATGCAAACATGGTTTCCATATTGCAGTTATTTTTTTCTGGATGAATCTCAACAAGAATTGTCCCCAAAAACTCGGACAGAAATATTAAGTGCCCCGGTGTGTCTGCAAGAGCATGCCATCCATCATGCTGTACACTGCTCTCAAGTGATGAACGACAACCTCCCAACATGTGACAGGGCCACGGACCTTGTGGAAAATGATTTGGGAAATGCTCAATATATTCAGTTTCCCTATGCTAAGCTTTTCAAACTTGAAACCTAAAAACTAGGTATTCATTTGCAATGTTTCTAAAGCACATTAAAATAAAAATGCTCAATTTTGTGAGTTTTTCAGCTTCTGTGTTCATTAAATCACTTTTTTTAGTGATGATACAAAAAGGGGAGATGTCCAGTTTAAATGACTTCCTGTATTAGACATTAGTGTGGAGATAATGTGGATAGAAATGTATGCATAATGTTGTGTAACAGAAGAAACTGTAAAATAATAAATTTATTTACCTTAAAAAGTAGAGTACCTGTTTTAATTCAAATCAACTGCAACAAATTGTAAAGGTGAGTCAAACAAGGGATTTATTGGCAAATATGTTTGACATAGGCTTCAGTCCTGCCCAAGGCATTACACAGTAATTGAATACAGTACTTCACATTACAAAAATAAAACCTTGCAAACAGTGGAACAGAAAGTTAGGGAGGTGTCAGGTTGAGGGACAGCTGTCAACCATTTAATAACCTTATAGGATACTACATATTCCTACACACAGTTCTCATTTACTTAAGTAATAAGTGGATTTATTGACCTTTTAAGTTAAAAATGAGGTACAAAAACAGATGAGTGACATTGCAATCTCCAGGCTAACTATATTCTTTCAAGTCCTTCACTTGCCCAGGGCTTTATCCAGATTTGTCTTGATGGCGTCGAGGAAGTCTGTGGTGTTGACATAGTGCTCGTTCAGCTTGACGCTATGAAAGCAAGACAAGTTCGGAAAATTCAATATTTTGCTTTAGGATACATGTTCAAGCCAAAATCAATCAATAAACCTTATTATTTACATTTACAGGGTTTAGCGTTACATAATGTTGCTGGTCAAAAACACTCACATGATAAATAAATGATATTACTTGGTAAAAATAACACTAGAGTCAAACTTAGGTAGTTGGTAGTTGCATTATTTTGAAAATGTTTCTTTTGTCAATGCGTCAGTCCAGAGTTATGTCTATTCTGACTGAAAATCTACAAATGTATGAGACGCAACACATCATAGTTTAAAATACTTTATACTTTTAAACGGGTTTATAAAAGCAGGTGAGCTCAAACAGCTTATTTAGTACATGTACCAGTTATGTGTAGAAACAAGATGGTGAATAAGACAGCACATACCTCAGACAGGGTTACACAACCCTCAGATAAAAGTTATATAAGGTCAAGAAAATATTTCCGATCTAGATGAAAAATCATTCTGAGAATTTTTCTTCTTTTTTCATATAATTTTGTTTATGAAAATATAAAAAAATGCAACTTGATAGAGTTATGTCATTAAGCCTCTAAGTTGCACTAATTTTTCACAATGCTGGAAATTCTTCAAGTTCCCAAGTACAACTTTTTTTTTTTTTTGTACCTGGACCAGGACTTCTGTTTTTGCCTGGAACAGCCCAACGTTCAATCAAACCTGATTGAAATCAGGTTTGAAGACATCCTTCTATCCTTCTATAAAACCAAAAACACCTTACGGAAAGAATAGAAAAAAAATCTTTCACCTTTCTTCTTAAAGATAAGCTAGAAAAAAGGTGAAGGCATGCTTGGGTCAAACTTTCAAGTTGTCGAGTTGTATAACACGCTGGCAGGTCAGGGGAAGGGGGGCGTAAAGCCCTGCCTTATAGTAGGGCTCCTGACAGACACAGTGCTGGTCTTATCGGAGGAAATATTTCTTTCAAGTTAAAAGAAAGAATTCAGACAGAGTCCCAAACTACTGTTTTTGAGAGCTGCCATAAGATTCATTTCTCAGCACATAAAAATGTTCATGTGCTAAAACAATAGAAAAAAAAAACAGGTTAAGTCCTGAGATTAAGAAATTTGTTTTATTCAATAGATACATTTTCGGGGTTTTTTTTTCTTTTAAGTTTCCAATTTTACATTAAAAAAAAACTGAAAAAGAAAAAATCTTAAAATATCAAACAGCTAAGAGCTCATATGAACGAAGGCACAGAGGAAAACAGCGATCCTACGGGTGAGATCACCGCATTTGTGGCGTTTATGGCCTTGGAAAAAAAAAAAAAAAAGGAAGGTACTAGTAGGAATGTAGTTTCCTCTTCAATTTCATACAAGAAACCTTGAACCTCTCAAAAGATGAAAAAGATCAAGTGATGTCTCCTATGAGAAGAGCTTTCTGTTGGGTCTCTGAGGCTGACCCCAAACCAAAACCTGAAGAAATCTCCCTGAGAGGTGACTGTGTCATCCAGCAGTCAAAGTCGTTCGGAATATTATGGCTCAGACATTAAATAACAAAAAAACACAAAGAGGATGATGTTGTCTGTTAGACACTTTTGGTACTGATAAATTAAGAGAGACCTCTGGATGCTATGAGGAGAGGTCTCTCTTTCTTGTTCATTAGTATTTAAGGGTCTTGCGATGCAGACCACACAGGCCGCATCACAGAATCAGACTAAACAGCTGAAATGTGGGTGTCATTCAGCACATCCCACTCATAGATGATACCTGGGCGGGCCACCCAAGTATAATTACCTATTGATTTCATTTTCTTTTTTTTCACCATCTGTTATCAATGATGTAGAAGATCTCCTGTTTGTCTCTGCCCTTCACGTCTGATAACCTGAAGTACCTGACACAGGCTCTGCTAGCGAGAGGTCCCTCATTATTTCCCTCCTGTAAACATATCGATTTAAGAGTGATGTCTCATGTTCAATATGAACCTTCTCATACCGCTGTTTTTAAAGTTCTTTTAGTTTTGGCTTGTTGCTACAGCATTAGTAAGTCAAGTTCACATGTAGTAGATCAAGGAAATATTTGGTCAAACACTGAGTCATGTTGCTTAGATGTCCTTAAACTTCCTACTAATGGATGTTGTGAAAAAATACAGACACACCACTTAATGTATGTATATAAAGAGAGAATAAGATAAAGGTACAGTGTGTGAGGTTGCAGAGGGGAGGAGTAACAGAGCCAGAGAAAAAAGTGAGGTGAGCATATTTAAGTTTTTTGTTAACGTTCATAAATAAGTTGCAGATTTAAAATAACTAGTCTCAGGATAGTCATATTAGATGATGAGTGATACAAGTAAAAGGAATAATATACCGATGTCATATTATTAAGTCAGAAACACACTTTATCATCATTCATTACATTCAGGACATTTTCTTACTGAATTGTTTACATTTTAGTCATTCACCTCATGACTAGACACTGTTCAAGTCAGAAATATGGTAAAACACAGTAAACGGTCTTCATCTAAAACAATGTCTGTCTAGAACTTCAAAAGGAAATTCTTGGAAAAGACTTCTCAAAGCTACACTAAAAACTAAGTTGTTGAACTCCGAAATAAACACTAATTTGAACTTACTTGGACAGGCCGTGGATGCAGCCTGCAAGATCCTTGGTCATTGTACCACTCTCGACAGTCTCGACACAAACCCGCTCCAGAGTCTGGGAGAATCTGTCGGCAAACACAGATGTTGAGGGAGAGGCATTTCTTGTTTTAAGGTGGCACATATCCGACAAGCTCAAAAAACTAGACTTACTTGATGAGGTCGGGGTTGCCGTCAAGTTTGCCGCGATGCTCCAGGCCTCTGGTCCAGGCGAAAATGCTGGCGATGGGGTTGGTGCTGGTTGGCCTTCCCTAAAGCAGAGTGGAGGATTTGATTTCATCCGTCACAGCGCACAGAAACAGTTCAGTATTTATCAAACAGCAATATATAGACATACTTCTTATTCCCACCATCACCACATGGTGGCAGTACAGGTCCACAGATCATGCAGTTTGTTTATCTCAGTCCATAATGTGGCATTTTCTGCTCCATTGGCCACCTGACTGTTACAAGATGCAGAGCCCCAAGACTGATGATGTTAACTGACCTTCTGGTGTTCACGATAATGTCTGGTCACAGTGCCGTGGGCAGCCTCAGCCTCAATTGTCTTTCCATCAGGGCACACCAGAACTGAAGTCATCAGACCCAGAGACCCGAAACCTAAAAGAGGAAACAGAAAAGTCAAAATCCTTTCTTAATGCAACCCACGCAACTGCAAAACTGGCAAGTGCCAGCAGGTTCCAGTATTTCATAACAACGTGATTTCCATAGAAGCAACACTGCGACTGTTTTTCGGCCTCTTAAATATCTCACCCTGAGCAAGGATATCAGACTGAACATCTCCGTCATAGTTCTTGCAGGCCCACACAAACGCTCCAGAAGACTTCAGCACTTGGGCGACCATGTCATCAATAAGCCTGTGCTCATACCAGATCTTCAGTTTGTCAAACTCAGGCTTGTAGTTCCTGTAGGAAGAACAAACATGAAAAACTACATCTACTACAGTTTCTACTAAGCTTCTGTACTGTTATATTGTGTGCTTAAGACAGGATAAACAAAAAGACACTGACTTTTCAAAGATATCCTGGAAGATGTCCTTGAATCTGCCGTCGTAGGCTTTAAGAATGGTGTTCTTTGTGCTCATGTAGAGCGGCCACTTTTTGCCGATGGCATACTGGAAGCAGCTGTGTGCGAAGCCTGTAATAGACTGTGGAGGGGGGAAAAAAACACCAACACTTTAAAACTGTAGGACTATTTTATCAGTAGCACAGAGGTTAACAACCTTCAACTTTACAAGTTGAAAGTCATCTACGACGACCTCTGGTGTTGTTAAATCAAACAGACCTGTGTTGATGAAGGCAAACAAAACAGTAGATTAGCCAGTTGAAGGGAGGTTAGGCTTCTGCAAATACTGCTGCTTCAATACTACAAATAGCCACAGGTGAAATTTAACTTCATTTTCTGGTTGTCTGAAAGAATGTCTTAATTTCAATATTTAAGCCCAGTCATTTTACGGTTATATAAAAGAAGTGTTTGCAGTGACTGCATGGGAGGATATAGAGTGACAGTTTGTATGAAATAGACCACAGAAAGGAAATAATTGACTTTTAATTATGTTGTCATTTCACTGGTAATGAAGTACTTTCAAAGCTTCAGAAACAGACTTCAGTCACAAACTTTAGATTCCTGCAAGGACTGGGATCTTCAAGGGTCACTGTTAGGGTCACATGGTGGTCAAAAAGGAGAAAAAACTCACTCCTACAGGGTCATTCATCCTATTAACACTTAAATTAGGCACATGTGAAAATCTGGGCTGAAATGTTGAAACTGTAAAGCTGTCACAAAGTCCAATCATAGACCTCCATCAACCATTGTTTAGCCTTTAAACAACTTTGGTCTGTGTGGCCCTGGCTAGCAGGTAAAGCTCAAACCAACAAGTGATTTTATTACAATGAACTTTGGTACTCCAGGTTACTCTGCAGTTTTCCAGAACTGCATCACAGGCACCTAAGATTAACTACGCCTCAGTCATTATCCTACAACTTTTATTAATCAGGATGTATTTCCTCAGAGGTGTGCCAAATGTCTGATTTAAACAATATTGAGAATTAGAGGCACAAATCATCTCGTTTTGTTTGTATTGAAGTTTTGGTGAGATTTTTTGAGAACAGGCCAGTTTTACCTTAAATTCAACATTTACCTCATCTGTGTTGTACATGCCCATTCCACAGCCACCAGCAGGAAAATCGTAGACCTCCCATTCCTTGCCTGCACTTCCATCAGTAGGAGAGAAGATTATCTTGAATTTTCCAGGCTGGTCGATGACGAAGTCTGTTGCTCTGTACTGTAAGAGAAGCAAACCAAAGTCACTTAACCAAGAGGTTTTTATACTATTTCAAGAGTTGCCAGGAGAATTGGTTTTTCAGCCTCAAGATGTAAGAAGAAGAAGAAAAACAGCTGAACTAAATTCCTCAAGCATGTCTGAAGTCTCACCTGATCACCGAAGGCATGTCTGCCAATGGTGATTGGCTGCGTCCAGCCTGGAACAAGCCTGGGAATGTTCTTGCAGATGATTGGCTCGCGGAAAACAGTGCCACCCAAGATGTTCCTGATGGTGCCATTGGGGCTCTTCCACATCTTCTTCAGGCTGAACTCTAAATAAAAAAAAGACAAATATAGAGACAAAAATGCCCACAATAAAACACAATCATTGACTGTCCTTACAAAGTTTTTACAAAGCTGAGTGTGTTGAATGGAAACATAGCAGAAGCGCTAGGTTTATTCCCGTTACATCCTGCTCTTCAAGGGGCAAGAAACCTGGAGGAGGGACAATGGCTGCAGGTCTCCCTTCCTCTATGACTAGAATTGTAAAAGACGCTATCAAAGTCTGGTTCCGTACCTTCTACTCTGGCTTCGTCGGGTGTGATGGTGGCACACTTGACCGCCACACTGTACTTCTTAGTTGCCAGGGCTGAGTCGATGGTGACCTGGTCATCAGTCTGGTCACGGTACGGGAGCCCGAGGTCATAATACTTCAGCTCAACATCGACATTGTTCAGGATGAGCTAAACGACAACAAAAACACACAAGGCGATAATTGTCTTGTTACAGCACTTGTTTAAATGCAATTAAGAAAGAAAACTTGAAAACACTGTTATATCAGGATCACTGCGACTGTTTATATGTGGTACTAACAGCTGAAGAAAAAGAAAAAATGACTGAGGAACATCTAAAGCAACAACTGGCCTCAGATATTCATATTCATTACATATATTATTCATTTCAAAGGAGACCACTCAGGTTGTAATTTATCTCATGCTTCTCCACGTTTTCTTCCTGAGCCAACACACCATCTGTTCTTTGAGGATGAAACCAGCCACTGACTGAATCAAACATCATACATGCCCCTCCCCCCACAGCATCATAACATGCATAATCTGACTGTAACCCTCCCTTCACGTCCACGTGTCAGACTGTGATGTAAAAATAGGAGAGCCAGACAAACAGCGTAGGCACCTTGTCCTCTGACAGTCAAAACCAGTGCTCTGTGTGCATAACCCTCCCAACCCCTGGAGGCCACTTCTTCACCTTCTCTTTGATGAACTCCCAGATGATCCTGGTCATCTCGTCGCCGTCCATCTCCACCACTGGATTGGCCACCTTGATGCGTTTGTCGGCATCTGTCAACATATGTGAAAACATTCTTTATGAATACTATATCTTAACAACATATTGCACAGGAAACAAACCACAGCACATGGGAAAAAGATGTCCTATTTTTAGGTTGTCTGAAAATATTTTCCTTTTCCTGTTTCCTTCACAAGACAGGGGAAAAATCTGTGCTTGAGCTTCAATTTACAATTCCTATTACTGACTAATCTGTCTGTTGTTTTCCTTCCGAATCAATCAGAAAATTTCTTGTGTAATTTGTAGTTCAATTCAAATCTTTTATCCAGCAGCCGATGATTTCCAGTTGAATGAAAAAAATGAGAAGAGAAAGGGAAAACTCTTCAGAGCCTAGAAAGAGGAAAATAATTTGGCATTTCAGCATAAAAAAAAACAAAAAACAAACAAACAAACAAGTGAACACATAAATTCAGAAATTTGCTGCAGATTCATTTTTTTGGGGCTCATCAGTTGGTTCAGCTCCATTAAAGTTTAATAAAAAAATTTGCTTTAACCATTTTCTACCTTTTTTAAAGTAATAAGCCAAGAGGAAAACTTTAACTCTGAGAGTTGGGAAATGCTTTCTTCACACATTATATTCATTGTATTCTATTTTTTAACTGCTTTCTAAAGCCAAGGAAGAATGGCAATACAAAACATTTAATGAGGTGGTGTGGCCATTAAGGGACTGTTAAAAATAAGGGGATTCTTGCTGCAGACTTGGCTGGATCCTCTTCTCACAAAATAAATAAATAAATAAAATCTGAAAGGGACAATTGTTGAAGTATTTCTAAACATGCCATGTTTATAAATACGCAGTCTTGGAAATGGCTTTCCTCTCCCCATTCTGTCAGCACTGACTCTCTCTCATCACTAACCATAATAGCTATAAAAGTAACCCTACGACTATGATTTCATCAAGTTCTACTGCATGATAATCAATGCACAGCCCATCAAATCCACAGGTACTGTGTGACAAAAACCACAGTGAGCATTTAGATTAAACCTTAGAAACCTCCTAGGGACTAAATGCCAATTTCACAGTTTCTAGTTATTATTTTAGGCTAAAAACTTTGACATTATTACAGCCAAGAGTTCTGAACGGACCCAAATTGGACTGTACTTCACTTCCACTCCACCTGGGCCTCAAAAGAGCATGGTTTCTTTACTTTCTTTCACTCCCCTTGTGGATCAGTCTAGATAAGTACCTTTAATCATATCTACCCCCGTTCTGCTCAGTGTGTGAGAGTCTTGCCAGCAGGACCATTTCAGTGAATAGAAAAGTACAGGGGGAGGTGCAGAGGATCAAGTGACTCTCTGCCTTCTCAGCCAAATCAATGCTACCCCAACGCTGCTAAAGCTTTTCCCAGAATACTGAAAGTAAGCATAAGAAGTCTGATGGAATCATTACACAACCAATATCACTTTTACTCACTCGAAGCATTTAATAAGACAACAAAAATACTGTTGGGAGCTGTGCAGACTTTTGACCGAGTTAGCTCCATGCAGCCTTGGTAACACCTGTCATAACAGCCTCCGCTCTGCTGAGCACAGATACACAGAACATGAGGCTGAAAATAACCTCCGAGCAAAGACAGTTATGACCTTCAACATAAAACTACTCACAATTTAACAAGAGCATAAAGTGTTACACCAGTATCAAGAGTTTAGGTGAGAGTGTTGTGTACTTTGAACATTAGATATTGCTTTTATATATATCATTTTAAAAAAGCTGCACTGCCTTCTTCATTTTACGCTGGCAGAATTATACAGAATGTAGAGATATATGTAGTATTGCCAAAACTGAGATTTCACTAAAAGTGAAGCTGTCAATCAGTCCACAGACGAAGCACGGTATTCCAGCAATCATTCTCCATTATTCGCCAGAAATTAAAATGATTAAAGGCCTCTCCAAAAAATAACTTAACTCATTCTGTGTTTTCGATCCCTGACACAAGCTTCCAGTAGATTCACAAACTCTAATGTGGTATTACAGAGTGAAATTAACCACCTCGTGAGCACAGAAACTAAACTGGATTTTGCTTAATTTAATCGCAGATTAGCAGATTGGCACAACCACTGCAGCAGTGCATCATGGGTCGGTCATTACATCTTTCTTGTTTAACCTAAATTCCATCAAACAGGACTCCACTATCCTGGAGGAGGGGGAGGGGAAAGCATGGAGGCAGCTGAGTCGGTTACATAACATCCGACTCATCAACAAACGCTGGACACTGAAGGGCGAGCTGAAACTAAGTCATGTGGTCCTGGCTGCCCACATCGTTCACACATGTGCTTTGTATAGTAGTCTGCAGAGTTGAAGCCAGTCACACCAGACACACAATACATCTACAAGTGCATCTGCAAACAAGAGCTCACAACTGTAGCTTTGACAGGGAGGCCGCCTTTAAACTTTGACCTGGATACCATCACTCACACTTTTGTTGCTTGAAGAGCGACCCCACTCCACGCAGTACCTAACAATTTACACTCAGTTTAATCTTTATGACAACATTCCTCAGTATTGAGTGTCATCTATATCTAAATCTTGCACTCTTAATGTGCAGGTGACAATTCGTTCTCTCTAGTTAAAGTTCAACATATAGGTATAGGCAAGCCCTCAAAAAGAAAACAGGCTTAAACACACCTTCAGGCCAGACAGCACAGAGGTTTCAGGAAGGTCGGTTAATGAACTGTCAAAAAGTCCTCAAATAAATACTGGCAGAAAAAAGGAAACTGACGCAAGAGATTTACAGCTTTGTCTGACGTTGATGACAGCGTTAAGTTGTCTTTTGGTAAAATTTACAGCCAGAGGGGAACGGCGCATTGGACACTTGGATGAACTGTAAACTTTGAAGGACGTGGTTATTGCACTTGTCAATAAAAGGCAAGAGTACAATATAAAACTATTAAAAAGGGCCACCTGTCAGTTTTCTGGGTTAAACTTTTACAGTGTGCAACCACTTTGATTTATTTCCCAGTATTTTCAGAGATAATGCCACAGGTTAATGCGAGCAAGGACTCTTCACGTGTAACCGTGCGATTCTTTCAACAGCTTGAGATGCTTTGTGTACCAAAGACATTCTTGCAGGTGCAAACTGGGTCACTATCATTCATCATTGACAGACTGGTACACTGTTAGGGCTCAAATGACATGTCGATTCAATCACACTCAGGAGCCAAACTGCCCTTCAACTGACCCACTAGCTGCTGGTGTTAGGGGTTTGTTGCATGGAGACCTTTCAGTACTTCAAACTAGAAGAAAGCCTGTGCTGTGTGAAATCTGGGATGACTGCAGAGAGAGAGAGAGACCACGTGATAAATCTTGATCCCTGTTCCAAAAACACGTAAAATGAGAGGATTTTGGTTGCTGCCCTTGAACTGTTTAGACACAGGTCAAGCACAGGAGAAAATCAGTTTAAAGGGCTTGTTACACTGATGCTAAAGCGGCAATTTGTGTGAGAACATCTACTCTGAGGGGTGAATATAACCCAGATGGAAAACATGATGTAGGACAGACTGAACTCTGAAGCAGCGGCAGCCATTGCTCTTTATTGCGGAGTCTCGTATGCGGCTGACCTGCGAGAAACTTTTCAGTCAATTCAGGATTTACGACAACACTAAATGGCTGGGGGCATGCTCAGTGGTTTATTTCGGGAAGTCTAATTTCACCAGAGTTACAACAAAAACAGCGTTTCTTTCATTGTGTTCAGCCGGGTATGTGACCGGCTACCAACAGGAGATGGTTTTAATTCATCTGCTATTACTAAATTTTCTACCTTTCACTTATTTTGACGGAAAACGAAATGTAAACTCGCACCTTGTCATCGAAACTTTCGGTTTTTTCTTCCTTCCTCTTACACAGATGCGACCTTAAATCAACACACTGACATCTACAGCTACTCAAACTTTGAATGGAGGAGACAAAGACAGCGCTCCTCCGGCTTCTGCTCGACTCGTCGCTTCGGCCCTCACTTCTATCGACATCTACCGCCTCCTGTGGATTTAATAATCTGCATTTGAGCAGGTACAAAACGACCACGGTGGCATTTAACTCTGGAGCATCGTTGCCGAAGCTCGTAAAATCATTAAGCGCATCTCAGTCGGTTTGCTTTACCGCAGCCCGGCTAGCATGGCTGCGTGGCGCGGCGCCACCGGCTTCAAAAGAGTGTCCGGTTTAACGGCTCTCTAGTCCGGCTACCATGAATACATCAGCGGGGGTACATTCAGGGGCGACATCTTAACACACAAGCTAGCACAGGCAGCGGCTAAGCGTCAACACAATGATGCTGAAGATGACCCCGGTTATCTCTCTCCACTCACAGTTTCTTTGTGGCAAAGTCTGGCAACTGGCGGCCGGAGCGAGCACCGCGGGGTTCCTGGACAGGGCGGCGGCAGACCTCGACAGAGAGCTGAGGACTTTCAAATATCCAGCCATGTCTCCCAATTTGAGGTTTACACTCGACGGCACCCAGAGCAAAAGAGGGGGAAAAGCGCTCTCAGGCTCAGTGCAATATAGACAGCAGCAGTGGCAGCGCCGCCCTTCTCCCCTCCCCGGCGGGACACGCTGAGTTCTACGTCAGTCACACCGACGCGGAGGAGGGACCGAAACAAACTCGCGGTTAAACTGCGCAGCTGCTACTGCCTCTTCATAACACTGGGTTCAAAGGAGGGTGAACCCAAGTATCCCATCCGTAATATCACCATCACTGCCATTCATGCACTCATCCGCTACAACCCAACAAATCTACAAATTCTACTTTCAGGACTTTTATACTTTTTCAGTCACATGATGATTGTTATTTAAACTGATTGTTGAAGTTGAAGTGGGAAATAGAAAGCATAAATACGGTGGCCAAGAACCGTCACTGCTGCAAATAAAACAGAATGCAAAAAGAAAAAAAAACAAACAGAAGTCAAAACGAAAGTTATTGATGCAAAAACGAAACCGAAGCCTGCTGCAAATAAAAAAAAAGAAATGGTGCAGATGTAAAAAAAAACAAAAAAACAAAAGTGGCGATGGGAAAAAAAGTTACTTACCGCGAAAATAAAAGAATGCAAATAAAAAAACGCCACAACAAGAGCGAGCTGCCAGGGACCAACAACGATAATGCACCAGTGTTTTATGATCTAACCACAGAAGACAATGGCGAGAAGACAAGCAAAGAAATAAGTGGAAAGTTTATTGTTTAATTTCGCTTCATGTGCTTTTCAATGTGTCATTTGGTTCAGCCATGTAGTGCCTGAGTCGATATGAAGTTAAACTGAAGTTAACACTACAACGGCATCCTCCAGATCAACTTCATATCGACTCAGGCGCAAAACGGTCTAAACAAATGACACATTGAAAAGTACACAAAGTGAAATTAAATAATAACCTTTCCACTTACTTCTTTACTCGTCTTCTCGCCGTCGTCTTCTGTAATTAGATCCTAAAACACAGGTGCATCATCTTATTGTTCCACGTCAGCTCACTTCCGTTGTGGCTTTTCCATTTGCATCCTTTTATTTTCGCAGTAGGAAACTTTTTCCATCACCACTTTTTTTTTGCATCATTAACTTCCGTTGTGGCTTCTTTTCTCTTTGCATTCTTTTTATTTTTTTTATTTTTTTTATTTTCCATCTGCATCAGCTTTTTTTTTTATTTGCAGCAAGCTTCGGTTTTTTTTTTTTTTTTTCATCAGTAACTTCAGTTGTGGCTTCTTTTTTCTTTGCATTCTTTTTATTTGCAGCAGTGGCGGTTCTCAGCCACCATACATAACACTGAAAGTTGTTCCTCATATTTTGCTTTCCTAATATTTGTCAATGAGGTGGACGCCACCACTATCCCAACCACTGTGTCTTCTAAAGTAAATGTGAATGACTAATATTTACCTGATCATATCAGCAGAAACTCAAAGCTGAAACTTCAAGTTTAGACAATTAAATAATCAGTTAATGATATCAAATTTGTGTAGTCAGAAACGGAACTTGTAATGTTTTAACAGATTTTGTCTTAGCCTATGGGGCATTTTTGTCAAAACCAAGTTGGATGCAGCTGATATGATACAGTCAGCGCCAGCAATCAGGTCAGTAGTTCACTGAACAATCATGGCAGGAGTTTTGAGGTGTATGCAATGCCTTGACATACACCACGTTTCCTAAATATGATGATCTAAAGGCACTGTCATATCAAATGTATTTTGCATTTAGATGCATTTTAGTGCATGTTCTGCACACATTGATAAGTTTACAAATAGCAAACAAGGGAGAAAGGTTCCAAACTAATTTACACACTTTCTGGGAACACCAGGCACTCTATGAGGATACCTGAAAAAGCAAAAACAAATCTAACAGGTGTTTGTTGGTTTTCTGTCCTGTGGTTTTAATGAAGGCCCCCTGACTTTTTCCAATGGTTACTTCTACTTGACATTTAAGATAAACAAGTTTCCTTTTGAGAAACAACCAAAAACTCTCTTTTAAAAGTCTGCCAATGCTTACAATGATACCTGAATATATCTGTGCATCCAACTGTTTGTTGAAATTATTGCAGACAGTCTAAATCAGTTAGGCTTGACATAATAAGTACAATGTAGAGACTGTTAAGGTCACAAGTGATTGAGTTATCAAATTGGAATAATCTGCAATGTACATATAATTATGATACGGCCAAGACTAATTCAACATGTAATAAAACCACAAGATAAAGATAATAGGCTTGTCATCACAATGACACACATAAAGCAACAGTAAATCTTCACAACCTTAATATGATAGGTGGAATAGGTATATTACAATATAAAACATGTACAGCTGTATGTAATGCAATCAGAGCTGTTTTTATTAAACTAGCAGTACTCTGTAACTTAAGTCTGAACGAAATGAATTGTGCTGTTCTGCAAATGAGGAGTTGTTATTAGCTCAAGAACAGAATAAAAATTTGAGAATATATTGAATTTATTGGGCTCCATTACAATTTGCACAACAGGGACAGTCACCTTCCAAAATGTCTCGGCAGAGGGCTCTCTAATTTTAGCAGGGGGAAGGTAACCATACTGGGAGAAAGCATGGGAAGTCAGCAGAGTAGTCACATGACAGGCTTGGTGGAGAGCCAACAAAAAGAGACACTCAGGTCACCTCTGAAGTACTCTGTCATTTTAGAATAGGGGGCCTCTATGTACTACTCACAAAGGCCAATATGTACAGTAATAAAACACACACACACAAAAAAATTAAAGCTGTATGACAACTACAACTCTTCTATATGTGTGTTTACTACAACATTGTGGAGAAGGTTTTATGGAGGTCAGCTATTATAACCCTGAATACACAGTTTTTGCATGTACATGAAGGCCAAGGAGGGACTGTTCAACAGAATGTGGTTACTGAGATCAGACACGAGCAGACAGTGAAAATTACATAATCCTTTGACTTTCTCAGACAACCTTTGAACTCCTTGTATTCTGTTTCCATATGCTGCCCACCCTCACAGACACAAGGATATCCTCCTTAGTGTGAGCAGTCACTCTCAAATGACACCTTCTACACCTCAAGGTCAAATCTCTAAGTTTAACACATGTCCAGACTCATAATGTGTGGTTACTTGACTAAGGATAATGTTTATTACTGACCTTTTTACCATTAAATATCACTGTCATGGGGGGATTTCATGTTTTCTGTCAATATTCAGTTTCTTTACTTTGGCTCTGTTAAGGCTTTAATTGATACCTTTGGGACTACTGTTTTACTTAAACTTCATCTTTATGCTGATGAGGGTTTTCTTTGTCTACAGCAGCAGAGATATATCTCAATTTGCCAGTGGGAGTAAAGGGTACAATTTGATTCCATAAAAAGCAATCTCCCAGTGTCCTTAGACTTGACTGACAAGCTCAGAGAACACCTATCTGTGGTTAGACATATCTGCTCCATCTGCTGGACGCTTTAAGGTAGCAACCAATGTGTTAGCAGGCCTAAAGAGACCTCTGCTGGTAGGTTTGGGAGATTCTTGCAGCATATGATCAGCATTTGGATCTCAAAAATTACTTTACAGCAATGTTACACAGTAAATCTGTCTTCATTTTTGACAAAGATTCAAATCAAAGAAATGAGGATCTACAAGGTACTCACATGAAAATCTGAAAATAAGGAAAAATGAAGTTGTGACTTCCTAGTTTTATCATGTGATTTCAACTTGAATAATTAAATCACAATTAAAACACACACACACACACAAAACAAACAAATGATAAAATCATAACAAAAAACAAAATATGTTAGCAAAATATGGTTAAACACAATGACAATATTCATACTACTACTACTACTACTACTACTACTACTACTACTACCACTACTTCTGGCAGTAATAATAAGATAATGATAATAATAATGATAATAATAATTTTATTATCATTATTATTAGCAATAGTGGTAGTCATAGTAGTAGTATCAAAAATACAGTTTCATTTCAAGATCGTTTGCTAGTATTTAGTTCAAAGCTTTATTTATTCTTGAAAGGACACAGTTATTATTGTTGAATTTTTTCATATTATCATTATTTAATTTTGGAATAGTTATGATTACTTTTGTAACAATTTTTGTATTTTTTTTTAATCATTATAAACAGTAGTAGTAGCAACTGAAGTAATTTTTTAAAAAATCAGCTAATTGTTCATATTTTTGAGTTGTTTTTTAAAGCCCACCTCTCTCACGGAACATTACTGTCTTTTTAAAACGTTAACAGCAGGACGAACCTACCGGAACCCGGGATACAAGTGACGGTAGGCGGAACTTCCTGTTGGAAGTCTCAAGTTTAGCTGCATCCGCTGTAACTATGTAATCTATCATATACTGTATATGTCTTTGGTTAGATAACAGAGCTTTGGCAGTCCGTTAAAGGTGGGGACTATATGATCCGAAAACAAAACAGTGTGGACGCTGCAGTCGGACAATAACAGAGACGTGTTTATTCATTACAAATCGAGTTGGGACTGGTTAAGTAAGCAGATCTCCACAGAAATGAGGTCGTTTGTTCTCCAATATCCTAAAACAGTTGCTCTGCTCACAGTGACAGGTATTAATGCTATGACCATGGTTTCTTTTTGAGAGTTTTTGTGGAGCAAAACTTCAAAAACAGTTAGATATTTTGAAACGATGAATGTGATCAGTCACTGTACTTATTGGCTCTGATTGTCACATATCAGCCCTTTTGTGTGTTTGTTTATGGTATTAGATCAGAACTTTACTAGACTGAAAGACGAGGACATGCTGGAAGTACATGTGATTATTAACTCAAGGCTAAAGGTCATGTTTTCAGATGCCATCTAGCTGATTACACAACATGACAGAAACTTTAAATGTATGGGCAAGTATCAACTGAAAAGGTGCAGATTTTATTAATCCTTTTTTTATTGTCCATGAAAGATGGAGAGTCACTCGGGAGGATAAGGGGTATTGCTTTGCATTAACACAGGCTCTGTTGTTACAGGAGTGGGACTCCTTGGCGTGAAGAGATGGATGGCAGGGGGAGTCTGTCACAGCAAAGTCCGATTAGATGGAAAGACAGTCTTGATCACTGGAAGCAACACTGGAATTGGCAAAGAGACTGCTGTGGACCTGGCTCGAAGAGGTTGATAATCTTGGTTTTATATCCCTAATTTTGTATAAAAAAAAATTATGATCTAATTCAGATTTACACCTGTTTTACAGGAGCAAGGGTTATTCTGGCCTGTAGGGACATGGACCGGGCCAATAAAGCGGCAGAGGACATTAAAAAGAGCAGTGGGAGTGAGAATGTTGTCGTCAAAAAGCTGGACTTGGCATCCCTCCAGTCGGTACGACAGCTAGCAAAAGATGTTTTGGCAAGCGAAGAGAGGCTGGATATTCTCATCAATAATGCAGGTCAATGTTACTATAAGCCCCATCAGCAGCCTGGTAGTGTTAAAGATCCGTCTCTAATGGCTATGGGTCAGGTGAGAGATGCTCAATAAACGTATATTTTTGTCTTCAGGTATCATGAGCTGTCCAAAATGGCAGACTGAAGACGGATTTGAAATGCAGTTTGGTGTGAACCACCTGGGTCACTTCCTTTTAACACACTGCCTTTTGGATCTTCTGAAGAAGTCGGCCCCGAGTCGCATTGTCAATGTCTCCAGTTTAGCTCATGAAAGAGGTGCAGTTTCTCACTTTTCCTGCTGGTTGTTGATCTTTTTTGTTGTTGTTGTCTGTTTTTCTCTCTTTCATTCAGTTTTTAAACTCTGAATAACAGTGGGTCGCTGTCATCCAACAGGTCAAATCTTTTTTGATGACATAAATCTGGAGAAAAATTACCTCCCTTGGAAAAGTTATTCACAAAGTAAACTCGCTAATGTCCTCTTTACAAGAGAGCTGGCCAACAAGCTACAAGGTATTTAATCTAATTAACCTTTTACACTCTCACCAGATCTTATACTGTGCTTAAAAAGATAAGTCCATTGTACTTCATTTAACCACTTATATGAGCTTTTATAGATAGACTTCGTTCATTTTGGTTCCTGGCTTGTTATATTGCAGGGACTGGAGTCACCACATACAGCCTTCACCCTGGAGTTATCCGAACTGAGCTTGGACGGCACTTCTGGCCCGGCATGCCACTGTGGAAGAGAGTGGTATACACACCACTCATGTTACTCATCAAGTCTCCAACAGAGGGAGCTCAGACCACCATCTACTGCGCTGTGGAGGAGAGCCTGCAGGACCAAAGTGGACTTTATTACAGGTCAGTCATTGAAAAGCAGTAGAGCGCACCTCCAATACTACATCCACAACCAAATGAGCAGACTGATATTCTCAAGATTTGTTGCTGTGCTGTGCTGACATTGAGCACAGTGTGGAGGTATTTACTATGATGGCACAAACTGTATTTATTTATTTGATTAGGACAATGCACATTGATCAATATATCAGCAAAAGCATCCAAGTTAATATGCCGGAGTTAGCACAGTTGCTCAATTTCATCTGTTGTCCTAAGGCAGGTATTACAGAAAAATTACATACAAACAATACACCACGACAATTTGATAAAACATGTAGAAACTGTAATGTAGTAGTACTTCACATAGTACTTCAAAACTATATTTATAACAGTGGTCAGGTACTACTATTCCCTTTGGACTATTATATCTAATGATCAGTCACTCCACCAATTCACTGGAACCACTTAAAACCTCCCTCCCTTTGCTACTTAATTTATGTCTACATCTTTGTGCAGACCAGCTATTTAGAATTTTGCATATTCTTCTGCATGTTTCCAATTATCATGAAACCAGTGGAATAACTGTATTTTGGCCGTTGCTTTGGTTGCATTTGAATTTAATTTGTACAAATTAATCTATGCAGTTAATTGTTGAGTTAGTTGTGTAGAGTTACTTAAAGGTACACAGAACATCCGTAGTGTAGCGATGAACTTATTGAAAAGTCCCAAGACTGTTGTGTTTTAAATCAGTGCAATCTTGTCAAACCGAATTAATTATTCTGGGTAACCTGATATCAAATCTAAATATCTCAAACAACATTGAAGACAGCAGCATCGCCACTTGGGGGCAGCAGAGAAAGCTGATTTACTCATCATTTTAAGGTGCATTTCTATTTGCAAACCAATGAATATTCATCAAGTTGATGTCGAGTTACATATTTAAAAGGTCAACATAGTCCAACATTTACTCTATTTATAACTTAATTTATGCACCTCAGGGAAAACAGGTGGTGTATAGTGTTTTTGATGATTGGTGGTGGTGGTGGGAAGGAGTAACAAACCTTTCTGTTTGTTTCCATCCACAAGTGGCCACTATATAAAGAAAATACTACATAATAACTACAATTGGGCAACCATTTCAAGGAAAAATGTCATTATCAGGATATAAAACAGAGCTTTGAGTAATCCATTTTACTCAAACCAGTGTCCTTTCCATAAACCATATGTAGCCAAAGTGAAGTCTGTTTTACTAAAACCAGATTTTCCTGTATGTCTGTACATCTTCATCCTGAAAACAAAATCTTACACCAGTTGTGTTTTCATAAATTGATCCATGACTTATAAACCCTTGTGTTATCCTGAACTTTTATTTTAGGGACAGAATCATCTCAGTGGGAAAGGTGATGAGTTTGACTCTGAATTCTGCTCTGTTTACAGCGACTGTGCCCCTAAAACACCAGCGCCTCAGGGTCGGGATGATGAAGCTGCCAAGAAGCTGTGGGATCTGAGTGCCTCAATGGTTGGTTTGACATCATCACAGTCAGATCAGTCAGAAGAACAATAATAATGGCTGTGGACTGCCAAGTGTCCTGGGGAAGGATCACAGCTTTTTCCAATAAGCACCTGTATGGGTACTATCAGCTGAGCTCTAAATCAAAGGGACAAACAACAAACAAACAGAAGTTCACAAGTAAAAGACATTTATTCAGAATAACAATCAATTGCTTGCAAAAATACTATAGATTCAATAATATCATTTTCTTGAACAGAAGAAATGCTTTACTGGCAGTCACACGGAAGCTGTATGATCTTAAGTTTTGATTGCCATTAGCGTGAAATGACATTTTAATTGACAAGTTTTACCTGTGTCTGCGACTAAGGATTCAAGCGTCATACAGCGTCAATTGAATTAATCATTGAAGAACTTTGTGCTTTTGAAAGTTTCTTTAACGCTCGTAATAGCAACAAACTTTTTTCCGTCTGGGCAATAAAGTGCTGTTTTACATAGCCCATTACTTTAGCTGATTCTTAAGGCATATTTTCATCCATTCACATGTGGTGGGTCAATTTGTTCTTCTCAAGACCAACAGGAATGAAATAAAACACATTTTGGTTCTGTCATCACGAATAACAAATGCACCTAATACATCAAATGTATATCTCTGCTCTTTTTTTAAGATTCCTTTTTCTCAAAGGCACTTTGTACAAATTTGCTACAAACAGTCAAATTTCATCTTACTTAACGCTACATCTTGGACAAGTGCATCACATTTTTCTTTTTCCAAAAAAACAAATCCAGTAACTGTGCTAATTACATACGCACAAAGTGCACCCTGGTGACCTGCAGGCTACAAGTGGACCCTGTTTGTTCCCTAAACATTACATTAACAAGTAACACAGCTAGTTCTGAGGATCAGTACCATGTCTTGGCATTTACATTCAAAACTGTGGTACATAAGTAGCAAATGTGTAGTGAGTAATGTAAATCCTAAAGGTTGGGTGTAAAACAGAGAGGAACTCTAACTATATTGCTCGGTTTCAATAAATATATATTTATACGTTATAAATAATTCATTATTCAACATCTAGAAGACCATGAGTCTATACAGCTGAACCTAGGGATGTACTTCCTGACAATTTATGGTGTTAACATCTCTACTCCCACATTATGTGCTTCACAATCATCACTAATCACTAATGAGCCAGCTCTTCAAAATCAGATAGCTGCTTCATCTGCTCCACTTGCATAGAGTGCCTTCTCACAAGTTTCTTTTTGGACTTGAGCCCGCCTCTCTTTGGTGTGTTTGGTGCTACTGGACCTATGGATCTAATTCCTGTGGCCAAGGGTGAGGAAGGCTTGCTACTTGCACCTATGTCGGGAATGGGAGGGTTAGGGTTAACATTAAGAGGGGGCAGCTGGCCAGGCCTGGTGTGGGAGATGTGGTCAAGCAGCAGGGTGCCCGAGCCTCTCCTCTCCAGGAGGCCGGGCGCTCGCCTGTGTGCCGTGCTCGGAGAGGATGGGCTGGCATTGCTGTCGAGGGATTCTCTGGAGCTGGTCAGCAAAGCTAGTGGAGAAGTATTGAGTTTCCTTCGCTCCAGTGGTACCTTGGGAGAGTCCAACATAGCAGAGTCGGAATAGAGCTGTGAGTCTGAGTCATAGTGATCCTTCCCCAGGCGTCTCCTGTGCATTGTGTCTCTCAGAGTAACAGGGCCACTGCTGCAGCTGCCGCCGCTCTCCTGCTCTGTTGGCACAGTGCTGCGTCGAGCCAGTGGCTGGTGCTGACATAGACTTTTCTCATACGATGCTTTAGATGTAAGAGGAAGTGACTGTAAGGTTTTCATTTTGGAGGCTTGTTCACCCACCGGTGGAAAGAAGCTATCCTTCCCATCTACGCTGCTCTGTCGAGATAAAGCCGACCTTTTGCTGAGAGAGAGTCCGTTTACCCCTGCTACGACATCCTCATCTGAGCCGGCTTTTCTGCTCTCCTCATGGGCGGCGGCTGCAGCAATAACTGAGGGGGCTATCAGCCCCCAGGGCTCTGACTGCAGCCTCTTCAGCTGAGGCAGACGAGCACGTTTTGTATTTGCAGGCCTGCGCGTTGGAGATGTGGGCCCATTGGCAAGCTTTGAAGCTGAAGAGGAGGTTTTCAGCTTTGTTTGAAAACTGAAGACAGTGTTTGGTTGCTCCTGCTCAGGTGTGGGTGATGCAGTAACATCAATGTCAGAGGGGGAGGTGCAGTATGCTGGGGGAGACTTCTCATCCAGCTCTGGCGATGGAGGTACATTTAGGTACTGTTTAGTAGTTTTTGTGCCACAAGGCGACTTGTCTGTGGTGATAATGATGACCTCCTTGCCCTTTGCTTTGCATGCATCCAAGAGCAGTTTTAGCGTCGCCTTATCGTCTGCATTAATGGCATAGACGAGGGCGGAGGCCCCGCTCCTGTCCTCCAGACTAGGATCAGCTCCATTGCTCAGCAGGTGATCCACTACCTCATGTCCAGCCTTGTGGATGCAGGCGTGCATTAGAGACGTCCTGCCTGTTTTATCCTGTATGTTTGGATCCGCCTTGTTTTCCAGGAGATACTTCACCAGCTTTGATTTGCTCACACTCTGCTGGTCATTGTGTGTGGACATGCAGGCCACCATAAGCGGCGTCTCCCCACGTTCATTGCTCTCGTTGATGTATGCGCCTCCTTCCAGCAGAAGCCTGGTGAGTCTCAACCGTCTGAGCCACACTGCCTTCAAGAGGGAGTTTCCATCCGTCCGCAGCTCCAGTATGTCTGCCATTGCCGAGCAGGTCACAGATTTCCTCAGAGTTGAACTTACAGCACACAGCCCTTTGAACAAACCAGTGAAGACGATGAGTACACATTGTGAAATCTTGATAACTTCAGAGTCATATGGTTTGTCCTTGTTGAGTATACAAAAAATCATCACCAGCAGGTGGCAGTCTATTACAACTTCAGCATTGTAAACACGGTTGAGGCTCCTGTTGAGGGTTTCAGACTGAGTAAATACAATTTTAATTAAATACTTCAAATGACAGTGAAGTGTAATGAATGCAGCTTTGTGGAGTTAGATCTGATCATGTCAATAAAACAAGTCATGTGAATGCAGGAGCCGGCATGTTAACAACACCTGTTAGATTCACAAACACATCATTAAGGATGATCCAGGCTACAGAAAGATATCAAAATCAAAGTTTCCCGCGTAGTCTAAATGCAGACAACCTTTTAGCCTATATATATGTGTGTTTTATCTCCATCTAATTGATAGAAGTGACGAATAACGAGGAAAAAAACGCATCTGCCCACCTCTCCGCGCGCAAAAACATAGAACCACGCTCCTCTATTGGAATATATATACCCTTGAGGCGGGTTTCCAACATGATAGTTAAGTATTAATCTTTTAGTATGACTCAAACACATGCACACAGGCGATAATACATAGCGCCACAGCTTGAGACGCAGGAGTCGCTGTCCATGGTTCTCGTTTTGGAAAACTTGGCACCAGAAACGCGCTCAATTGTAAATAACTGGATTGGCAGCTTAATTCTTCGTTATAATATGCATTTGAGGCGACATGTATGATCCCAAGTAATATATATAGTATGTTATATCTATACATCTATATTAAAATCGGTATATTTGTGCGTACCCCCTAATAGATGAAGTAAGCATCGGCTCAAGATAACCACATACAGTAGAATTAGACTTGCATTTGTTATGTTGTTGAATAATTATTGCTGTCTTACCTGGTCAGATGAGAGGTTTTCCATCCTCAAAGTAGGCTACTCATTGCAAGAAGCAAAAAAAAAAAAAAAAAAAACAAGGAGAAAATAAATCATTCAGAATACAAAGTTTGCCACAGGTCTCCCTGCTCTTTCTTATTTCTCAGACCTAACTGCTCCCATCGATGCGTCCAAGTGTGGGTGACAGGGAGCCGTTCCTTTCTGCCACCATCGCACATGAGCGGTGGCTTTTGTTATGAAGACACACTACATCAGTCCAATGGGGAGTATTCCTTTCACTGCGCACTCAAGGATCACAACCTGGAGACGCTGCGGGTTATAAATAACTTACTTTCTTCCTTGCTGAATGAAACGTGTATTCTCTTGACGTCAGAGTCGACCAAAAATAAACCACGTCTGAAGAAAAAGCACTGTCTTCATATGCACAGACATCACTAGTGTGTTTTCCTCCCATAAGACCCTGTAAACACACTGCACGTGTACATCCTAATTTAGATAATAAGAGAGAGAGGATTGGAGAGTAAAAAGCGACTAAATAATAGGCAGTCCTTAGCCTGCATGAGCTGGAAGTGAGAGAATAATAGATGATGCTTCTTGTTCATTTGTAAACAAATGCTGAGGATAACAAGTCTGTGCCATCATTAGTCTTTGGAAAATCAGTCACACTTGTTGGTTCGAGGAAGACATTAATATTTTATCAATACCTATATATCAGTTCTAGTGGAAGATATGTTGATGTAATGTAGAGTGTGTGTGTGTGTTTGTGCGTATGTATATATATATTTTTTTCTGCACATATATATCGCATATATATATGTTGACACAAACTTAAAGTAGCCATACTTGTAGCAGCTTTCACAGCAATATAGCCTAATAGGGACATGTCTATTTTTAGGTTGCTATGAGACAGCACCGAAGCAGTTCCTTATGAGAACAGTGATGTTCTCAGCCCTGCAAGAACAGGTAAATCAGATACATACCATTCCACCGAGGACCGCAAGACTTTGTGGCATTTACTCACATTCTTTTTGATGTTTTTTTTCCCTCTTCTGTCAGTTGCACAAGGAAACAAGCGGCATCAACGTTGCCACATTCCCCTCCGTGACCACATCCAATCATTAGTCCTCTGACCCCTACTCTTTTCCTGTGAGACTGGAACTAATCACTTTAAGGTCCGTCCACACACATGATGGCTTGGGATTCCAGTAGTCAATGCCAGTAGTGATTTCTCACCTGTGATTGCCTTCTCAGCCCACAGGGACATGCTGTTTACAAGACACTCATAGAGTGTGGCTTGTAGACGGGAAAAAAAGCACATACTGTGGTCATCAAGAAAAGGGAATGCACCCCTTTTTCAAGGCTCCCAAAGTCTGGTCTTTATTTCTGCAAATATCTTTGTTTTTGCAAGAAAAACAGACTAGTAAATAAATAAATATGTTAAGTGAAGCTTTAATATAAGAGTACAAAAACTTTCCCTATGCCCACAAATCATTCTTTGTTAATACTTGACGCTCTTTATCTAAATACTTTTGTGGAAAAGTTCAAATGTTATTCAATCTGCTATTTTCAGATGTTCTTAAATAATTAGAGTACAGTGCACTTGGTTGGGAATGGCATTTATCATGGGGGAACCTGCTGTTTCCATGGACCTAATAGACCACAGACCAGTACAAGGCCAAGGCTCACTGGCTTGCTCACGTTCATTAGCACGAGGAGCCACGGGAACGTCAGCAGTCTTCATACAGCGTGATCTCTGCCCCAGTGATGCTGTCGTCGGCTGTATATTAAAGGGGGGAAAATAAATAATTAAAGTGCAGAGAATAAGCCCTGTCACCCCTGGGAGCAGTTTCCATTTTCAGTTATCTTACATCGCAGCTGCTGCTCATCCTCCCCTCCTTTCTAAATATAACCATTTCTCCCCTCTGCATTGTGAGATTTTTCATTTAACCAGCTTATAGCTCGGAGGCTATTCATAGATCCTAAGATGTAAAAGTAACAGACAGTGTTCACATTTACTGTCACTTTAAAAGTGTCCTAAGCAACAGTAGCCTTAACATGGTTCCTGGCCTTTGTGGCGTACATATGCTAATGATTTGTAGAAAAGAGAAAGAAAGTGGAAATGGGCTTTAAACAATAATAAATAGAAAAAATATTTAAATGTGCACATCAAAGCTAAAGTACATTATCCCACCAGATGATAATCTTTCTTCACTGACTTAAAAATACACCTAAAACTCTGTATTTGAACTCCTAAAAATGCTATATGGATGGAAGCAAACTGTATATCCTTTCATCACCATAACCTAAACACTACTTTTTCTTTGGTTTTAAGGATTTGCTTTATGATGAATGACCACAAACATGTTTTCAAAATTCAGGAGGTGTCAGATATGTTGTTTCAATACTGGAAAGTAAAACTGAGTATTTCATATAATTAGCAAACCTATGAGCAAAAGTGGGAGAAATCAGGGGCTAACAAGGACGGCCTCGTCATCATTGAAGAAATAAGGTTTCAACTGAAACACAACAACAAAAATCACCAGAATTGTTTCCCTCAGATTTTACTCGACACCACACATCACAAACCTTTTATATTTCAGAGGAGTCAAGGGTAAAATGTGTTTATTTCACAGCACAGAATCGACAAAACTCACTGTTAGGCAGTGTTGGGAAAGTTGCTGAACATAAATCATTTTTTTACAAGCACTTTTTGCTGTCATCAAAATGAGTCACTGCATCAAAAAAGACTCTCAACTGTTGACTTGGGAAGCATTAGAAATTTACTGAGCAATCAGTCTGTTTGGTCCCTCCAGGCAATGATTTAAAATTAAGGCCTGTTTGGATGGAGTGGCTCCTCCTTGGTCTGCCAAGCTAACATAAGCTGGACCTGGATCACCAGTGATGCCAGAGCTGGACTGTCTGGCAGCTGGTGTAGTAGCCTAAAAGTGTGGTGTTTGTTACTGTAGGTGTTACATGAGATTAAAATCACAAGTCTCCCTTTCTGCTCATGAACCACATTTGATTGCTATATTGTTGTCCTTTTGCTCACGGAGGAGAAAGTAATGCTTAAAGACAGAAATCTCTCACCTGAGCTTCCACAGGATAGCAAATATTTCCTAAAATGTTGAACTTTTCGAAGAGATGAAAAAACCTCTGATGCATGGGTGTCAGACAAAATGATACCTGATGTTGTAAAAACAAAGAGAAACACGAACGCTGTTTTAAAATAACAAGCTTACTCAGACAGAGTGATCGTCCTGCTTGTGTTCTCCATTTTGATATCTCTATTTGCATTTTAAGGGAGATGCTGTGTTTTCCTCGGTGTTGTGTTGCTGTTTGTGATTCTTCTTCGGTTCTGAATGTCTCTTTAAAGACTGAGTTTGACATTCTCTTGGCATTTGGTGTCTCATGCGATTGTATCAAGCGAATGTGTGGGCTGCGACAGGGATGAACTGGCACGAACCCTTGCTGCAGCTTTGCACTGGACTGCTCCGTGCCTCCCTCCTACCATGGCAGATTTAACCAAAGTGCCTCAAGTGCAGCATTAAAAACCTTCCACTCCTCACATAAACTATCAGGGTTTTCCCCACCTTATCCACTCTTGATTATGACATGTGAAGTATAACACATTTTCAGACACTTTGATCTTTTTCATATTGAAAAAGTGTTACTTTCTCATACTTAAAAATCTTGAAACGGTTCCACTCCTCCTCTGCCTCCTTCTGTTGCTTCACATCTCACAGTGCAAACCAACACCTGCCCTTCTGGTGAGCAGTAATTGAGTGGAGCATTATTCAGGAGCGTTACACAGGCCACACTTTTGCTCAGTGATCACTGTGTATGTCAGCTGTATCCTAGGAGATTGGTGCATATCTAATAAGGAGTTTGTTACTCATTTTGCAGAGTGGGTACTTTGATGTCCTCTGAGTTGAATTTTCAGTTTTTGCTGAAAAACCTGTTAGTACCCGAGGCCCTTTTTAGCTTTTCTGCTTGAAAATGTCATACCCATAACAAATGGTTGTAACCACAAGGTGTATTTGAGTAATGATGGTGTCACAGTAAAGGGAAGATTTGTTGAGATTTGTTAATATGAGTAAATGTGATACTGGTGAAGAGTTAATGAGGATGGAACAAAATCTAGAAAAAAATTAGGCTCACCTTAAAAAAAAAGCTGTATCAGGATGAATACCCCTTTGAAAATGATGCAGCTGCAGCTCTAAATCTTTATCAGACCATAGTACACCATATAAGTACACCATATAATTTCAACGTCAAAGCATGTACTGTTAATACAGAATTTTTTTTTTAAATCAAATTCTTTGTATTAATAGCACATGTTTTGGTGTTGACAATTAAGTCAACCGCAGGAAAATCGGTTGAGAAATAAGCGAGATATGATTTATTTTCATTGCACACACTTTGCCTTTAATGGGAACAATGCCCCCACTAGCTTAGCCTCACTGTAGGCACGCAGCTCAAAGTCGTATCTACCATTCATATCTATGGGTAGAGCTGGAAATATGGCGAGTGGGTTGACACAGCGAGCTTGATAAGTCTCAAATCATCTAGTTATTTGATTTGTGTTTGGAGCATGTAAAAAAGCTTTATAGCCACTGAGCAATAGATGGCTATTAGACATCTATTTGTTTTTTTAGACCTAATTTCAAGATTTCAAGATTCTGTATATTTTTAGACAGAATTTGGACGTTGCACTTTAACCAATTATTCGATAACTATTTATTTCAAAAAGCAACTGTGAGTAATAGCCATTGAGTAATATACAGTGTGATATAGATATAGCCCAGATTTAGATTTAGTCTAAACTTGGACGTCTAAAAAACTTTGATTTTAGACCAGTCATCTAGGCTACATTTAGATGTCTATTAGACCTCTTTTAGACCAAAAAATGCTCAGTGGGTATAGTCTTGTAGTCCAGGTTCTGCTGACTAATTTGATGTGCAACATCACTGTATTCATCACTTATTACTGCATTATTTCACACTGTGTTTGGGGACTTTGGGGATATATTAACATCCTCCTAATGAAGCAGAGGGCTTGAAGCATCTGAATTGGTTGCTTATCGGCTCTACACCCCACTTATTAGGAGTTGCTGTGAAGCTTTAATTGGATATTGGAATATTAGACCTGCCTGTAATCAAGCGTTCAAGACGGATTCATATATGATGGTAATGTTAACACCATTAAGGTTTTTACCATCAGTCTCCCCCACTGAAACCCTCCCACTTGCTACTTCATGTGTCATGTCAGTGTGTCTTCTCACTCTGTAAATCAACAAGTGTTTCCACAATTTGTCTTGTGTTGTTTGTGGCAGCGTTTGTGGTTCTGTACAGCTGCCTCATGCCACAGAAGTAATTAGTGGTAAAATTGGTGTTTGGGTGAGGTCTATCACACCTCCATTCACAGCATCAAATCAAGCCAAACTGCCCTCCCCTTGAGCTGAACCTCCCCCCGCTATCAAATAAATTATCTAATGAAACACTACAGCAAAAGCACACTGCTATGTTTAGTCCGTGTATTCAGATACATACAACTGGATCATCCAAACCTTTCAACAACTGCATTCATAGTTTTTTTCCCCCCTGGTAGATTTGTAGAAAAAACAGAAATGGTTGATGTGGCTATAAATAAATGTTAGTGCAAACAGTTTTTGGTGCTGTGAATTCATCACTTGCTGCCTCAGAGCTGTTTCTGTCAGAAGTTCAGGTCTGTGGGTTCATCTGTGTGGATGAGTGGATGTTCTGACAGCGAGTTAGAGAGCTTCACTCTGCTCACGGTTCACACCCCTGAGGCTATGACGTCTTTGACGCCACGAGACACTCTGACCAAAATACACCTCCTCTGCAGCACAAGGTGGGGAAAAGAGCTTCTTCGGTGTCTGCTGTTGTTGGTGACGTCAAATCATTGCTGTCTGCCTGTCCTGGAGGATGTCCGGGCTCATCTGTAGAATCTGAAATGACAGGACCAAAGAGGACCTCCGGAAAATGAGCTCACATTTGGTGACAGGACTAACAATAGATCTGAAGCCTCATAAACAAGGCTGTAAGGCAGATACCTGCCACCTATTATTTAAGACTAAACCATGCTCCACTGGGCACATCCATAATTGATCGCTGAACGCTAACCCTATCATCTTTTTGCTGGGCTGAATTTAACATCTCCCTTGCTATATTAAAAGCGCTTGTTCATGGTATCATAATCACGCTCCAAAAATAAAACACTGCCAAATGGAGCTTTTGTTCATGGAGCTAATTGCTT